GTAAAATATTTTACCTTTCAGGCTTGCAGGATTCCGCTACTATAGCCTATGTCTGTGATGACGAACCTATGGCACCTGTGGCACGCGGAGCCATTTCTTAGGGCACGCGAAGTGTTGCCCTATCAGCTTCAGCGTGCATGTGCGTGCTGGCCAGCTGGCTTTGGCCTTCTTTTAAAGCTGTTTTTCACGCTCCGGAGGCTTCCTTGAAAAACTGCCCCTACGGGCAAACTGGAAATTCAAGAACGAACTTACAGTTTGCTCGGAGGGCTGTTTTTTGCCCTCCAGAGCCTTCTGGAGGGCGAAAAACAGCTCTATGGGCAACCCGGAAGTTCGGGAAAGGTGATTTCTGGTTGGCTGTAGGGCTATTTTTCGCCCTCCGGAGCCTTCAGGGAAGCCTCCTGAAGGCTCCGGAGGGCAAAAAACAGCCTTACGGACAAACCAGAAGCCACCGTTCCCAAACTTCTGGGTTGCCCATAGAGCCATTTTTTGCCCTCCGGAAGGCTTCAGGGAAGCTCCTGAAGTGTCCTGAGGGCCTCCGGGAGGGCGGTGGAGGCTGTTTTCACCCTCCCCATGCTCCTAGAAAGCCTCTGGAGACTGGGGAGGGCAAAAAAGCATGCCAAAAGTGGTGGGGGGAGCGCTGGTTGTGCACAAAGGCGTGTGGGGGGGTGTTGCACGCGCTCTGGTGCTTTGAGTTGGGCGTGCATGCACGCTGGGGTTGCACGCATAACATTATGGGTGTGGGCATGCCCGACATGATCCCCCTGCACTCCCCCCGCTTTTTGCACACAATCCAAAAAAGATTAGCTTTTTCTGGCCTATGTCAATAATTTATAGTTCTAGTCTTCATTTTCTTGATCTGGTCTCTCTCTCATAAGGTGATCATGTAGATCAGGTAAGTATTAAAAAAACAAAATCACAGAAATGAAGACATATTTTTATAAGTTTATAAAACCATGTCTGCAATGGTGCAGTTCTGTGTCATGCCCACCATGGCCACACCCAGCCCCTAGCCCCCCCACCCAGCCCTCCAAGCTCAAACTCAGTCCTGATGTTGCCCAAATTGAGTTTGACACCCATGGGCTATTGGCTTGCCTTGTCAGTGTTGGTGGCAGTGTTTTGGTTGGTTTTTTTTGGGGTTGGGTTGTTTTAGTCCACCCTGAGTTTAATTATTTATCAAGAGCAAATCTATTCCAAAACCACAGATGAAAAGCGTTCACAATGAACTTTTCAAGTCCTGGATAAGAGTTGGATTCTGGCTCTTTGCCACCCGGAGGGCCCAAGCATACCAGCTGATTAGATAGATACCAGACAGCTGATTAGATAGATAGATGGATGGATGGATGGATGGATGGACGGATAGACAGACAGACAGACAGATGAATGATAGGTAGGCGGGCAGGCAGGCAGGCAGGCAGGCAGATATACAGATAGGTATACAGAGATATATACATAGATAGATATACAGAGTTGGAAGGGACCTTGTAGGTCATCTAGTCCAATCCCCCATCTAAGTAGGAGACCCTCCACCATTTCTGACAGATGGCAGTCCAGTCTCTTCTTGAAAGCTTTCAGTGATGAAGCTCCCACAACTTCTGAAGGCAACATCTGTTCCATTGGTTGACTGTCAGGAAATTTCAAACAATGTCAAGTCAAAAATGAACTCAGGTCATCCTCCTTCAGGAGTGTTGGAGTTATGGGACCACATGCACCAAATCCTTCCCTGAAAAGGCTGATTGATCACTGGGAGACATTGGTCAAGGCAGTCCACCTAATATTAAAGGAGCTGGAAACCAGTATCCTTCAAGGGCTCCAGATACCATCTGGATCTGTATCCATCTCTGAGGCAACAGTCTGGAGGTAGATGGAAGCCTGGAGCAAACCTGTGGCTTTTATCTTTAAAATAAAGAGGGTTTTTTTCTGACTAACACGTTTTATTAAAAGTTTTTGTGAACTTATAAATGCCTTAGATGTTAGCTAGAAGATACATCCAGATCTTTCCAGTCTCATTTTTGTCTTTCATAGATTAACCATCTCTACTCTAATATTATCTTCAAAGCAAGTCTTCAAGGGGCTGAAATGTACTTGCTTAATCTGTCTTTGGGATACATGCAAGTGGTTTCTTTCTGTGTAAAAGAAACAACAGTAATGTTTTCTCCTCTCCTCTCCCATCCTCTTTTCTTTTCTGAGATAATCAATTAAGGGACCACTGTGTTTTCTGAGGCAAGCCTTGATCAAAACAATTATTTATTAAATTTATTTGCAAACAATGAATGTGCACGTCAGCAACTGTTGGAAGAAATGTCCTTCTGGGTTCAGTTCCAAGTGGGGGAAAAGACACTGGAAACATGGAGGCTGCTTGGAAAGATGGTTTAATTGTGGATAGGACTACATGGTTTGAGCTCCTGAACAGAAAAGGGGCATCACATGCTTCCAGATGTTGGGTGAAGAAGAAAAAGAAAAAGGGGCTTGCTGAGAGTTCCTAATTTTTTTAAACTCTCTGTTCAGCCCCACCTCTCTGTTTCTTGTTCCTGTGTAAGAAATGTATTCTGATTGATTGTCAGACTCCTATGGGGCCACCGCAGGAGCAACTCTCTAGGTTGTGTTTTGAGCCCAAGTGTGGTTGAGCATTGTTTCTTCCCAGGTTCCCTGTGGTGAGATGGGTAGAGGGCTAATACTATCATGCCTTAATCCCATCACCCTGGAGCGGAAAGGGGGAGATCTTTGTTATGTAGAATAGACTGGCTCAGACCTTTTAATGGTCCATTGAGAAAGGTGGAGGCTATTAAGAGTGAGTCTGCTTCCTGCCTAAAAACATGTTTCTCCATTTCTGATCCACGGAAATATAATATTCTGCCTTTTTAGTATTTCCCAGGATGTTTCATTCTTCTAGGAGAGAGGTGGGTGCAAACTTCCTACACAACCAAAAAGTGATGTCCAGGGGGCTTTGTAACACTCCCGACCCCTCTTTATCTTTTTTTTAACAGTAATTGTTTTAGGCTGCTCATCTTTTTAAATTTATACTTTAAAATGATGTGGGGTTGGCCACAAATTTGATGCATTGCTAACACTCACAATTATAATGCCATCTTGGTCTATTAGGCAGCACTTTGAGATGATGAAAAAAAAACACCTGAAAGCGGGATGGAGCTTGGTTCGGGCTTGGTTCACGCTTGGGTCGGAGACCACAAGGAAATCCCTGTGGCGTGGGCCACTTCTGGAAGCCCCAAAGTGCTTTCAAAAAGAAGGCCCCACCAATCAGTCCGCCTGGCCGGAGAGGGAGGAAGGGAGTCAGCTCAGTCTTCCCAGCCTCCCCGGGCGCTGAGTCAGCACAGCCATCGCCCGCCGCCTACAATTCCTAGCAGCCCCCGGGGTTGACATGCGTATTGGCGCTCGGCCGCGCCCCGCCGCGAGGCGCTGCGCAGGCGCGGTGCGGGCCCGTCGGGCGGGCTGAGTAAGGCGCGCGCGGATTGGCGGCGTCCGGGCCGGGAGGGGGCGGCGCTCCGTGACGTAAGCAGCGGGGGCAAATGGCGGCGCGATGGTCCAGGGCCCTGCTCGCAGCGCCGCCGCCATCGTAGTCGTCGTCCTCCCCCCGGCGCGCAGGAAGCGGCGGCGCAGGGGGCGGCGGAGGCGACGCCGCGTCCTCCCGCCCTAGGCGGGCCGCGGAGCGTTGCTGGGCCCAGGCGGCGGCTGAGGAGGCCCTGCCCGCCGCTCCTCCCGGGCCTCCCGAGGTAAGCAAGGCGGCACGGCTTCCCTCGGGCCTCGCCGGCCTCCTCAGCGCTGGAGGGAGGGGAGCAGCGCGGCCTAGCAGGGGATGGAGGCGGAAGGCGCGCCTGTCGGGCGGAAAGCCACGCAGGCGCCGGGGGCGGAAATGGCCGGGTGGGGGCTCCCCCGGGCCCGGATCGGCCCGTCAGGCGGGGATTTCCTGGTGGCCTCCTGTCCCCCGAGGCCCCTCACATGTCCACGCGGTTTTCCCCCGGCGGGGAGGCCTGGCTTGGCCTGGATCGTGAAGGAAAGGCCGCCCTGGATCTGGGCCTTTTCCCTGGGAAGGCGGGGCGGGGTGGGGGTGGGGCGGATGGAGGGCAGCTGAGGAAAAGGAGTGGGGGGCTTTCGAGCCCCCCCCCTTAGCCGCGTCTCCCCCCCTCAGCCCTCTTTAAAATAAAAGAGAGAGACGGGGAGGGGATCCCGGATGCGCCTTTGGTGGCTTTGATGTGGCGAGATTAATTCTGGATTCATACGACACTTTGTGTAAGGCAAGGCAACTTTATTTGGCAGCGGTGTGGTGGTTGATGTTGGATGCCTTGGCCGAGGATACATATCCATGACAAAGGGAAACTGAAATAGGAAGGAAGATAGGGAGGGAGGGAAGCAGGGGAAGGAAGGAGAAAGAGGGAGGGAAGTGAAGGAAGCAGAAAGGGAAGAGGGAGGGAAGCAAGGGAAAGGAGGAAGGAAGGAAGGAAGAAGGGAAGTGAAAGAAGGAAGACGAAAGGGAGGAAAGGGAAGGAGGG